TTGTAAAAACATAAATGTGGGCACATCAATTTAGGAGCCAGATCACCTCAATTGCAAAGTTGAAACATGGAACAATTGTGGTTCTGATTCATGTTAAGTTTGAATTATATTATTAAACAAGAAAGACAAAAAAAATATCAAAGAAGGAGAACCGAAACAAACCAGGGGATTTCCAAGGTGTAGATCCAAAATAACAAAGAATTAATAAGAGATCAAGTTTAGGATAGAAGCAAGAAAAGAGAAAACATTAAAACTACTTATTCTTCAGGCTCAGATAAATCAGAAGAGCCAGAATCAAGATCAATTTGACGTGCTTTGGACCAATCAATCTTCTTGTTCTCACTTTTGCGCCACTCATTGTAGACTTTGATGTTACCTAAAAACCTTTCCTCCCATCCAATAGCAATGCTGTCCCGTAATGTAAACCACTCTGATCGTATATGAGGGATTGGAAGCTCAGGTTGGATATCCAGTGTGAGTGATATACAGTGACAGCTATTTATCATTCCCAGAATGATAGGCTGGGCGTCTTTTTCTTTATCCGGTGAAGTGAAAAAAGGTAATGAAGTCGCAGAGTATTGGGCGACATCAGAGTAAGATATGACTGGCCTTTCGTAGGTATTTGCTATAATACAGCAGCCTCCAGGAATCGGGTAGTAAAACTCCCGGCCTACTACTAAGTTGGGGTTTTCAAGAATCGAGAGCATCTTCTCTATGTCAAACAGCTCAGATGACAATGTCAAAAGGTGCTTCGTATACCAAGGGAGACGTTTTTGGACTTCTGCAAGCATTTCACGCCTGACAATCGGTGCCTCATCAACACCTCGACCAAGTTGTACCGCAATTGCTCCAAAGGTGCAGAGACCTTTGCCGGGTGGGTTAACGGCGGATTTGATGAAAGGAAACAACTCTACGGGGAGGGTCTTGACACAATCCCATCTCTGCGAGTTGAATCATAATATCAAATCAGTAAAATTACACGTATACATTCTATCTGTTCATAAACTAAGAAATGAAGCCAGCAAGGGACGTACTTTGACTATTGCCTGGTTTTCTTTTGACATGTTCTTTACGCGTTCCATCACTTTTTGTTCGTATTTGGATAGCTTCGGCTTTGCCTTCAACTTCGATCTTTGTTTGGAGGCTTTGTGGTGCAAGGTAAGCTGATGAATCAATTAGTTAAGACGAGTGATGAAAATGGAAGTTGGAAACTAACTTCATGCTTGTTTGCTTGTGTCCGAGCTTTCTTCACCTTTGGTTGATCCTAGAGTAAACAAATGGAGTTAGTTGATGATAGTCATCTAATTATGATTTGATCTCCTACGTTTTCTTTATTTTGAATTGTCCTAGTCGATTTTCGGGCAACTTGAGCCTGGCTTGAGCTTGAAGCCCTCGTTGTTATTGGACTCGTAGGATGGTTATTGTGTGTCGGCTCTTCCACAGCTGAAGCTTTTCTCTTCGGTGTTTTCTTCTTTGTTCAAAATAATGATGTATCAGTTTAGTTGAATTTTGACATACACATTTATTGAATAATGTGAATAGCTTACCTTCGAAATCTTTGGACTCCTATGAACAACGGGATTGCTATCCTGTGGTAAGGTAACATGGTGTGTTAGCTAAATGAATAAGCGGTAAGCTTAAGGTTGTCAAAGATTGACATACTGGTGCGTGATTTTCTTCAGGTGCTTCTTCCTCTTCTGAAATTGGCGGCTCCTCGCGTTCTTTCCCTTTCGATTCTCCACTTTTTGCCGTTTCTCGATTCTTGATAGTAAGCATCAAATATGATGAATCATATCTGAACAAGCTTACCAAGCTTTGATCTGGATTAGATTTGATGGGTGAGTTGCTTAAAAATCATGATTCTTGTGTGTCTTCATCATTAGTAGACTGATTCGAAGCCTTTGGAGTTGTTGAATCTTGGGGTGTTGTATTCAAGATTTCGGGGAGAGGATTAGGAGGTAGAGGTGTGGGAATAGGAGTTGAGACTGTGTTTGCGAGTCCGGCAGCAAGCTGGCATTTGGAAAGGAATCGAGTCAATAGATACGCTTGAGACTGCATTGGCAGAGCTTGCATTTGCTGCTGCAGAGCTTGGTATTGAAGTATAAGAAACGGGGGAGTGATTGCAGAAGTCGAAGGTTGGACTGATTGAATATGAGGTATAAGGATTTGTCCTGAAGGAATTTGAGGTGTTACAATGTTTCGATGTTGTTTTTCTTCTTCTTTGCTGATGGTGTCACGTAAAATCGCAAGATCGTGCTTGTGTATATTGAAGTCCGGTTCATGATTGTGATTCGCGTTTTGAATAGTAAAATTCCAAGTTCCATCGGAAGAATCGAGTTTAGAGGTGGACAGAAATCCACACGTCTTGGTATTCGCATTGGAATTGGTGTCCTTGTGTCGAGTTGGTCCTAGATGACATTTGAATTGAACCCATTTCGGCCTGGAATCCTTGATGGTTACACGAAAGCCATTATTGTTGGCATGTTCCTGAATGTACAGGATGGCGTGAAGTCGAGTTTTGAAGCCAGTTCTAGCCTCAGGTGGTGGAATCTCAGTCATCGTGAGGCTGAATGGATCGATCGAGTTGGTTATTCAATGGGTTCGTAATGATAAAGGAAAAGAATTGAAAATGAAAATTGTGTTGGAGTTCAAAAGTTGTGTGATGTGTTGTGAGAAAGGTGTGAGATGTTGTGAGAAAGGTGTGAGATGTTGTGAGAAGAAGTGTGAAAAGTTGTGTTTGATGTGAGTACAATTGATCTGAAGGTTGTGAGAATAAGAAGATGGTTTGGACTTACCGAGGTATTTCAGCCGGCGAGGGTTGACAAATCGGTTGGGTTCTTGAGAAAGTTGTGTGATGTGTTGTGAGAAAGGTGTGAAATGTTGTGAGAGGACGTGTGAAAAGTTGTGTTTGATGTGAGTACGATTGATCTGAAGGTTGTGAGAATAAGAAGATTGATTGGACTTACCGGACAAATCGGTTGGGTTCTTTAAAGCGTTATTAACGTGTTTGAAAGGTTGAATGGAAAGAAGTTAAGAAAACAATCGAAAACTGTGTGAGGTGATGTAAAGATGAGTGAGAGACGTTTTTTTGATGTGAGGATGAGTTA